ATTCCAACACCAGTGTCTGGGCACCAGGGGGGAAGTCTGCTCCAATCCTTTCCTAGGTTACTCATCCAAGTCTGATTCACAGCATCAAAGTCTTCTCCCGCGGCCCGAGCGCCAAAGAACTTATTTCATGTATGTCATTATCTGCTTCCATCTCCTTGAAACCCAGTCTACCTCGACAGATGGCCGCTCACACTGAGCCTGGTTCTGCTAGAGGTTTCTTCCTGTTAAAAGAGAGTTTTCCTCTCCACTATCGCTACATGCATGCTCAGTGCAGGGATTGCAGAAAGTCACTAAGTCCTCGCAATCAGCTCGTTTTCCTTAGATAGAAACATTTTCAAGAATCTGATTTTGTTACCTGGAAAAAATAAATGGAATGACACTTTTCCAATTGTAGCTTTTCTCTCTGTCTCTCCAAATTGAAATATTTCTGATCGATTCATCAAAATTATTGAAACTGGATGATAAAGGGACCAAATAAAGAACAAACATCTTTTTGCACTTCCTATTTTTATTGCATTTATACAAAAAAGAGTGATTTACAAACTTGGGCAAATCGCCCTGCATTTTTTTTATGTTTCTCAGCTTTCACACAGCTGATATTGATTGATAGCAGATTACCAGGCTTTGCTGAACAACAATCATCTGAATACAGTGAACTAAAGCAGAGAAACATCTGAAATATGCAGGGCAGTGTGTCTTCAAAAACACTGATCTAAAGTAGATGTTTTTCCTAAAATTGGATGTTGATGCACCTGAAATGCATTTTATTTATTTTGAATACTTTTTTTCATAACTTGAAAAGCCTCTCAGGAAACAAAAAAGGTCTTTGGTTTAAATAACAGTTCACAGGTAATGAAACTCAATGAGTAAATTTTTCTAGTTTAGTTCTAGAATGCGAACAGTTAGAGAGTTTTATGACAAATAATTGCTTTTATTGGATCACTATCTCCTATGAAAACCTGCATATCGATTAAACGATTGTTTTGCTCCCTTACTGTTTTCTATTATATTAAAGTTTATCCTATATTTAAAAAAATATTTTGTTTTCCCTTCTAGAATATCAGAATCTAACTATAAACTTTATCAAAAAGGAAAGTTTTAAGCCTACCCTTAAAAATAGGGTTTCAAGCCATGGCTTCCAGAATTCATGCCACGGTTTCTAAAACGGATGCTTGCAGATTCTGAAGCCTTCTTTCAACATTTGTTTTTTATTACTCTTAATTTGGGTACCTGTTCAGAGCATGCAGAAAAAGATCTTTACTTAG